CCGGGTACTCCTAAATCAACTCTTTCAAATGGAGTCTAGACCTCCTAAATGGTAGTGTGCCTTTACCATGTTTCTTTTTTTTTTTAATGCTTTTAAACTGAAACCTACAACAAATATTTTCTTCACTCTGTATATTAAAATTATGAGAATATTCCACAATTTGGGTACTTTCATCATCCATTGGAACACCTGTTATACAAGTTAATGTGATATGATTGGGGAGACAGAAAAGAGCAGCTTCTGGTAGCTGGAAACTGGCTTGGCACTTTCAGCTATACCTTGGTGGTCTTGAACACTCATTCACCAAACATCAACATCCGACAAAGCCAAGTATGAATATAGTAGATCAAGACAAAAAAGACCACTTTATAAGCAAATCTAGAATCCAACAAAAACATGAACATCCCCTCAACTGCAAAAGTAACCAAACATCCCACTGTGAGCAGCCTGTATGTGACTGCTTTTATTAAAATGTAATTATAACCTTAGGCTTGCTTCATCCTACTGCTTTTCAGATAAGATACATTAAAATACCCAATACCCAGCCCAGTTTAAAGGCTGTCTCTTACAGTATTAAATACATCTAAATGTTTTAACTTCCATTCGGATCACCCCAGAGTTTCTCAGCCTCGAGTATATAAGGTGGACAGTTGGGAACAATTGCCTAATAGTTCCTTTTTTTTTCCCCCCTCCTAGGTTTCTGTTAGGAATTTCTCCTGACTCTTGTGTCCATCAAGGTGGCAAAGTCTCTTTGATCAGGTAAGACCTTTAGCAAGCCTCTTCTCTGAAGCTTTTCTTGAACATCCTCCACTTAGGTTGGCTTAGGCATTTCTATCTTCTCACACACCCCTAGGCATTTCTATCTTTTCAACTGTCCTTATCATTAACACACTCACTCTTCTTTTAATAGGCATCCTCCTTACCCACCCCCCCACCAGGTTCGGGGGAAAGTCTTGAAGGCAGGAACCGTGTCTTTTCTGTTCCTGCTTTAGAATAGATCAATACATGCTTATTGAATGAGTGACAAGCTATTTCAGGTTCCATAAGATTCAGTTATGTGCCTGACTTCTTTATATCCCTTATTCTGCCTTTTATCCAGTAGATGTCATTGGACTAAAGAGAAGCACCATTTACCTGTATAATCCCATTTCTAGGGCTCCACACATTTCTCCAAACTTTATGTTTTAAAAAAAAAATCCATGTCTTCTCATGCTCTCTGCCAAGCCTTATGTGCTCAGCTGGGATGAAAATTGTAGACAGGGAGACCAGCAGTAGACATGTAAACTGTTGGTTAATACTGACAAATAGCAAAATACAAGCAATGCACGCAAAACAAAAGAACAATATTTGCATATTAAAACAGGAAGACAAGGAATATTGTTAAAAATGTTGGCTTTGACAAAGACCTTTTCAGTGGTTTCGTTCCTTCAAAAAGGGAAAATTGGAAAATAAAACACATTCAATCTTAAGGGACACAAAGTTAAGACTAAGTAGAATAAAAAGGGAAAAAATCTGGCAAATGTGGAGGAAAAGAATATATTCTCTATTAACGTATTTAAGATTAACATAGATATTTCTGTGAAACAAAAAAAAGCAACTTAACAGTGAGTACGTTTTACTTCAAAACCCTGTGCCACATTTTACTTTAAATAGTAAGGTGAAGTGCAAATATAATATAGCCAGAATTAAATAACTGGTCTAGAATCATCTAGTTACCTGTTTTCCTTGACTGTGTGACTCTTGACATACCACTACTAAGATGAGAGTTTTCAAGACTAGCAGCCTGGTATCATTGAGCAAAGTGGGGGGGGTAGGGGTGAGCATTTAAATTTGTCATCAAGATCGATTTTCATTTTAAAAATGAAGGAAGAATAAAAAAAACTGAATTGCCACACATGGAGAATTAAGGTGGGAGAAAGACTACTCTGCTCCTATTTTAAAAGAACTTTATTACCTGCCATAAACTAACATTTTATGTGACATAAAGGGAACATCGCTAAAGGAAATTCAGGGATCAGCACTGCCCTTAAGAAAAGATGCTCCCACTGTGGGAAGTGTTGTTGAAAATCTGACATATTCTCAACTATAAGAATCATTCCTAAAATGGCAATTAATACTACTACTAATAAACAGTGCAGAAAGCCAGCTCTTTATTTGTTTTATATGAATGACTTTAAACCAGATTTGTTGAACAGTTCATTGTAGCTGACAGTGAATGTTTAACAGGAATGCGTAGCAGACCATGTTAAAAATGTGGCATTGTCCCAAAGTACAATACGACTAAGACATCCTACATTTAGCAGCACCTTTTTGTAACAGTAACTTAAATGAGCAGTAGAGAAAGAGCATAGGAAAAACTGAAATGGGTTTGACAATAAAACATAGAACTATTAAGAACATTTCCATTTCCAGCATTTTCTAGGTTGACTACAAAGATCATGATTCTACAACTGAGTAGGTTAAGGTTAAGCCTTTGCTGAGTGAAAAGACTAAGTTTACATTCCACAAGTCAGTAAAATCTCCCGTTGCCCTTGGGATTATTTCTTCATTTACAGATTCAGTACACACTGTTCACACATATGCCTGCTATACAGTTTTCACGTATAGATGCCCACTGTCAAATCCTGCAATATCATTTTTTGAGGAATACTCTGATTTGGACTAGTATGTTTCACAGTCAAGTGAAAAGAATCCAAAAGTGAAAAGAACTAGAATCTGTTAGCATGACTCTTTGAAAGGGATTCGTGGTAGCAGCAAGAAAGATAAATACCAGTTATACTTCAAGAGTTTTAGATATCCCAAAGTCATTAATTGGGATGAAAGTTTCAGAAATATTTTATACAAGTAACTTTAACTGGAATATGGTTCCCCAATGATAAGAATATTTTACATCAAAAAATGCATATATTATGACTACTGTTTTTATATTCAATAAATAAATTTGACAACAGTACAGAGCTAATTAACAAAAAGATGAATTCTGAGGAAAATGTTCCTTATATTAGCTGATAAAACCCTTCAAATGTAACTCATTTTTAAAACCGAGTTTTCTTGCGGAGGAAGGGAAATGAGGAGTTAAATGTGAAACAGTTTTACTTAGGTCCCAGAATATTTGGCAAGAACCTGGAATAATCCATGCAAAAAAAAATAGATTAACTTCTTTAACAAAATAACAATTTCATAATGTACATATCTGAAGTTAGGCCATTATATTATAGCTCGGCATTTTCCAGGGACAAACTTCAGGGGTACTTGCACCCCTAATACTGTCTTACCTGTCCAGTCGTAACTGGACAAAAAGTACACATAAGCGACACAGAGAAGGTTATTTTAGCCTTAGCGTGACAACCACCCCGTGAGCTGTTTACAGTGCTATCACTGAGGCATGGAGAATAGTATCTTTTGGGTTCCCTTTCAGAGCGGATGTCTAATGGAGGAAGATAGTCTTAACATTTTGTTCACTTCAAGTCACCTCATCTTGCCCTGATTACTTCTGAAGAGCAGAAACTTTGGTTATAAGAAGCACTTCTAGGTTTTGACGGACAGTGAAACTGTTGGGAGTTGGTGGCAGGGAATGGAATGAAGGGGGAAACTGAAGGGACATAAACAACAGGAACCATAGGCAAGGTTAGAAAGGAGGTGGGAGAAGTTAGAAAAATTTATTTTCCCACGAAATAATTCTACAAGCTGTGTAAACATTTCTTACTAAAACAAATACTCAAACACACAAAGATTGTACATTTCCAGTGAAACACTCACAGTTAAAAGTTGCCTGTATTTTTACTCTCTAGGAGCAAAAACAAGGAGCCAGCAGACGAATGCCTTCCTAGTCGCCTTTGGCAGCAAGCTTCCTCACATTCCCTGACTGCTCAGCGGATTCTCAAAGCAACAAGTAGCACAATTAAATACAAAGCCAGGTGAGTAGAATTCTAGGTTTCGGTCTCGAGTCTTGAGCACTCAGTTCCATCTCAGTCACTCGTGCACGCTTTTACACACTCGTACACACAGACACGCTTGCATATGGAGGTCCGGCTCGTATACTCCAGTGCAGTGACATAAGACACTAGCTACTAAGAATGTGTTTGTCACAATCAGTGTGAACTGCATGGATTAGAACAACCTTTGGAGTTTGGTTATATTTACCATAATTTATGGTCAAAATTATAAACTTACAAGGATGGTAAAACATTCAGAAATCAAACCTCTTCAAGTCAGGCAATCACACGTATTTACAGTATGTACAGACTTTCTATTTGAATGGGGATAGGTGTCTAGATGATATTACAAATTTCCTGAAGGTGGGCATTTCTAGTCCCTGTAATTCATAAAGCAAATCTGCTGACTTGGCATTAAGACTCTAAAATAGTGTGATCAAACTGAGATATATATATATATTATATATATATATATTATATATATAATTATCATAAGAAGGTGTTGCAGAAATAACATTTACAAACTATACAGTACACAGTACTAGTACATAGAAAATAGATTCTAACTTTATGATCCCCTTTGTGTAAGGCAAGACTGAATCTGTCCCCAAATTTAGTCAGCCAGAGGTACAAGCAAAAAACAGTGGTCCATGGTTAAATGAATATGCAAATCAGGTGCCTACATATTAAAAATCTGGAGAATCAAGAAATTCCACTTTTCACCTGGGCCAATTCTGGCTTGCTGGATACATTAACTACATTTTTGAAAACATCAACTATTTTTCTTAAAATACTAATGCCACCTGGATGGCAACAGATTTTGTTCAAGTGGCAGCGATCCCAAACAGTTTTTGAGAAGTCCAGTATGCAACCGGAGGACTGCAGCCATACCAGGCAAATTTATATAGCACTTACAAAAGAAAAAAAAAGGTATATTAATACTCTCTATCATGCTATTGCTATTCGAGCAACAGCAATACAAAGTATACAGGACAGATCACATATGACTGCAAGGTAGACCCCAAAGATTGAGTCTGAGGGTGGGGGTATACAAGACTTAAAAAAAAAAGAAACGTAAAAGGGCCAAAGTCACTGGCGGATGTAAACATCCCTGTTCCACTCCCCAGCCTCGTTCCGTTTTTTGGAGAGGCCCTCTCCGTCCTTGTCACAATAGCGATCCTTGGATTTATGCCGGCTCCGTTGTTTGTTGCACTCGTTGTGCTCCTGCTCTCGATCCAGGTCCCTGGAACGGTGCCGAGACTCCCTGTGTCTGTGCTCACTGCTCCCGTGGGGCTCATCGCGGTGGTTATGGTCACGGTGGGGGGCATAGTGGTCCACGTGTTCGTGGGAGTAATCTTCCTTCGGCTCCACATAGGCAGAGTCTCTACTCTCCTGGGTTTCTGAGTCAAATGTCTCCTGCCTGGAGAGGCCTCGGCTCGTCCCACTGCGATGGCTGTGATGCTGGGCGGAGGAGGAGGAACGGTGCTGGGGTTTCTTGACGGGTTCCAGGCAGGGTTCTTCTTCAGCTTGGGAGGCAGAGCGGGCGGGAGCGGAGCGCTCAGTCCTCTGATCCCCTTGAGAACCCTGGTGGGGAAGGGAGCCAACACGGGCGTCAGCCAAGGTCACCGTGTAAAGAACTAACATGTCACGAGAGCAAGGCTGCCCTTTCAAGGGTTTATTCCCTGGGGACTTTCTAAAATGAAATCTAACCTTGCTCAGTTACTTAATTCTTTTGATAACATCCGGTGGCATTTACAAGGCTTGTACTACGTTAGATCAGACTTTCTTTTCCTTAATGAATAAGTGAAGGGGGGACAGCATCCTTTTATATGTTCTTCTGACATTCAAATCAGATACAGGTACCTAAAATTTCTTTACACACCAAGTGTACATTTCACTACCTCTACTTGAAGACCTGTGGGAAGATTAAAAATGCTTAAGATGTTGGGGAAGAAATAAAATGTCAGATACTCACATACCATTTAGTATGAGGCAAGTACTATCCTAAGACAGCCTTTGGTATTAATTCAGTAATGTGGCAGCAGCCCTGTGAGACCAGTTACCATTAGTCTTCCTGCGGCAAGGGGCAGGTAAGCAACTTCTCCAACCTTACACACCCAGTAAGAGTTGGAGCAGGAATTCGAGCCCAGGCAGTCTGATTCCGTGGCTGTGCTGCTGACAGTGTAGAAGAATGCTATCCTTGTCTTACAGGACATGGGGCTGAGTTGTTTCTGTATGTGTGTGGTATAGTGTTGACAGAGTTTTTCTTACAGGTACACAACTCGCTCTGAAGACAGTAGATGATTCAACAGGTGTCTCGTTCGGACAGAGCTGCTCCTGCTGGAACAGGCGCTGTGCTAGGTAACTGGGCTCGGATCCCAGCCAGATGACCCAAGGCAGCCTAGTTTCTAGGGCTTAAGAAAGAGCCGCTCTTACCTGTGAATTAGAGGCTTGAGTGGGGCTACTGGGCAGAGCTGAAGTGGCTAAAGTACGACTAAGGAGAGGGTTGGGGAGATGGCTGCTGGGAGGGTGGGTGGCCTTCCAGTAGGCCTCCAGGTAGTCGGCCAGGTGCTCACAAGCATCCTCGAGCTGGTTCTCGTCCAGGATCACATCAAACAGCTCCTGCAGAGGCAGACGTTGCCGATGACACACTCGCCCCAGCCCGGCACTCCCCAAATGAAGGGGCCACACCCCTTTGTATGTGCACGTGTGCTCCTGCTCGCTCCTTCTCAAATTGTCTAAATGTCCTGTTGAGTCAGACTGTGTCTGTCTGCCTCAGATCAGTGCTCACAACTCTAGATGTTTAACCTGTAGCAATTCTCAGTGTAATGACAGTTGTTTAGACAGGATAGAAAAGAGGTAGAGAAATAAAAATATAATCTGGACAGTACAGGAAGAGGCCTGGTTTTGACACAGAGACTATGAAAAACTTAATCGTGGAAATTGCTGAGGCAAGATTAGGACAGGAAATTTGGCAGACAAAAGCTGAAATCACTGATGATTTGACAGGGCCCAAACTTCAAAATATGCCCAGCGATAAACAATATAATTCTTATAGCTTCTGCTATACTGCATATCAAAATGAAAACCTAGAGGTGTTCGTTAGTCTCAAACCATGATATGTAAAAAGCAGGGATCAGGAGGGGAATTTGTTCAGGTATCAGAAGCTACGTAACTGTTTAGAAAAAAAAAATTTTTTTAACATGGTCTCAAATCAAATTCTCAATTATTAAGAAAGCTATTAAGAGTTATTAGAACGAATAACAAAGCCCAAACAGATCCACTTTATAAACCAAATTTTGAAACCATAATCTCATTTAAGATACAAATTAGGTATTAACAAAGCAAGGTCACCACCAAATGCACTGGAGTTTTTTCTAAGCCATAATCTAGACAAGTGCTCATGGGAGGCGGTAGGACAGTTCACTTCTTGGGAATGAAGACCATGGCTAAGTGGGGAGAATTCTGTCCCCCGACACCTGTTTTCCTGTCCGGTTATTGGCCGGTTGCTTTCTAAATATAAAACCAGGGCTAATGTCTTCAGGTGGATTTTACCGTGTATGGAGAGGACTTACTGGAGGACACTGAGCCAGTTTATCAGCTGCGACCATCTGGACATTGAGGTGTTTAGCTTGAGATTTCCCTCGAGATTTTATTAACCTTTGTAAAACCTGTGAAAGATAAGATTTAACAGAAGAATATCTGCATTCAGGTAAAGAACAAGGTTTGTTACTCTAGGGCCTTTTTATGTATAGCACAAATGGTTTATAATAGATTGAGCCATAAAACATGTAAGTTAGCTGCAAAATTAACATGTTAACAGAAATCTCAGTTGCAGACTTTAAAACGATAACTAGCATGGAGCTTACTCTCTTTTTCAAAGCTTGCGGTTACCAGTCTTGTCTTATGACTCCTTTATGTTTAAAAAAAAAATTGAGAACCCCAAGAGTTTTTACGTGAAGTATAATGTTTACCACAGTAGAAACTACAACTGAACACACTGTTAAATATTCATTTAAAAATGAATGATAAGCTGGTTACATTTTAACAAATTACTTATTTAAAAAAAAAAAACTACATTTTTTATCAATTTCTCTAATTGCTTCTTAACGTGCTACAGAGTCTTGTTTTGGTTGAAATAATGTGAAGAAATCCATCCCTCTACTGATAGGTAATTCAGAAAAGGAAGAGTATTTTAGTAGCCTTTTCAGGAATTGTGACAGTGTTCTTTGATGTTACACTAAACTCAACAAATGGTAGTTTCTTTTTTTTTTTTAAAGATTTTATTTATTTATTTGACAGACAGATCACAAGTAGGCAGAGAGGCAGGCAGAGAGAGAGGAAGGGAAGCAGGCTCCCTGCTGAGCAGAGAGCCCGATGCGGGACTCGATCCCAGGACCCTGAGATCATGACCTGAGCCGAAGGCAGCGGCTTAACCCACTGAGCCACCCAGGCGCCCCAACAAATGGTAGTTTCTTAAGACTAGTTGCATGTGAAAGCTTAAACTGTGTCAGTGAACTTTTCTTACTGTTAAATTACATTCCATAAATGTGAATGGATCTTTTACTGTGCATGATTTGTAACATCATTTCATTGATCATTTGGAAAATAATGGTTCAGATTCTTCAGATCTTCCAAATGCTGACACACTTCTTAAACAATATCAAAACATATTTGCTGTTACCACTGATCACATCAGAAAACGCTATCTTTTGAAAAGCTGCTAAGCTCAGATACAAATTTTCTGAAATTTCAATTTTTGTTTGGAAGCTCCAGTTTTATCACTGGTGACAAATGGGAAAATATCTGCCAAAAAACCAAGTCTTATAAACATAGTATGTCAGTTGTTCATTCAAATAAAAATGGTGTTCTGTGAAAAAAGAGCCTGCTTGAGTTTATAACTTGAATAGTCACTATGTATCCTCAAGATGACTGATAAAGTGTTTCAGCTAGTCAAGTTTCATTACACAGAATATTGAAAAGCCGTGTATTTAAGAGTCAAAAGTTAGTAACATTAATAAATGTTACTACTTTGTGAAGACATACTTAACTGAAACTGGGTGGTGGTAGGTTTTTTTGGACCGTGAGCACCGTCTGTTACCAGTCCCCATTCACGGACACTAGCAGTTTTACCCACCATTGCTTTTGCACCCTCAGTGCAAATGTCAAAACAGTGAAAAAGGAGAACAGTGTCTTAGTATTATGGAAATAATTTCGACCTCATGGACTCTCTAGAAGTTTCTCAGAACCTTCCTCCAGGACACCGTGGACCACATTTTGGGAATCGGTGTTCTAAGCCATGAAACTAATAACCATGCTTTGCTTACATGAATCTTAAAAACTCTTGACTACCCTGTCTCTTCAAACTCTTTATGATGGGTAGAGATATAACTTACCACAGTTGTAAAGCAGAACATAAACAACTGTAATGAAGTTTGATTAGAGAGCAAATAAGAACAAGCCTGCTTACCTTAGGAGAAGAAATCTTTACGTAGACTATAATAGGGGCCAAAGAAGTTTTACTGAGTTGAGCTGGATGATTAATGGTATCTGCATCAAGGACTACCAGTTGCAGTGTTCTTGCAAGTTCAAAAATCCTTTCGATTTCACTCTGAACTTCCGCTGTAGAAGGTTAATAAGCAGAGTTCAATTACTGAAAGTATTTTTAAACCAAATTGAAATAAAAATGGTACACTGTTTCTTCAACAGGAAGGGAAGGAGGGCAGCCAACAGGTTAATGTTTATAGGCAATCGAGGTGATAAAGGGTATCCTTTGGAAAGAGCGGTCTCTCCACAGAACCTTTAGTATTGAGGGAATTCTTATCTCAACCACCTATAAAATTTGCTTCCAGTATAACATTCTTTGTGCTATAAAACTTCACTCTGTGAAATCATTTCATAAAGATGTAAAATAGAAACTTAAGAATATCTTTAACTTGTCTGTTTCTGACCACGTTACCATAGCAACTCTCACCACATTTCTTTTCACTGCATCAGCTTGATCTGTGTTTATACTGTCACCTATTGGTCTACTTTCTCTATATGATATTCTAGATGTGGTTATTAACAAGCTGAAATCCAACATAAAATAGGAGAGACGTTAATCATATCTGTAACAAACTTGTCCAAAAGCACACTTCTCCTCAGTTTCTGCCAACAGATGAGTGATCCTGCAGTATTCGTATTTTAAAAGGGGAGTTCTCCATTAGAGGCAGCACTACAGAAATCCAAACTCTAAGATTCATAGAAAAACTTATTAACTAAAAAAATGCTTGAGCACCAAGAAAAGTTCAGTCCACCCACTCCACGATCCCTCCAGAATACAAAACAGGACTGTCCAACAGAATGTTCTGTGATGGTGGAAATAGTCTGTGTCAGTGCCATCCAGTATGATAGCTGCTCGGCACAGGTGGCTGCTGAGCACTTGAACTGTAGTTAGAGCGAATGAGAAGCTCAATTTTTAAACTTAAATAAAAGCTAAATAGCCAGAGGCTACTATACGAGGCAGCTCAGATCTATAAAGGCCTAACACATAGCTTGTAGTGAAAGGCAGACTCTATGAGACTCCTGGACCTACAGAATACCTTCCAATTCTTCTTAGCCATTTAGATCCATGCAGAAGAGTGCTGGAGATAATTTCAACTCGTATATTACTGCCGAAAAGACAAGTCACTACTCCTCTTCCTCACAGTATGTTATGACTAGAATCCTTTTAGTTACCTGTATGTATTTACAATCTGGGCTGAAGCCATTTACAGTACTAGCTTTAAAATAATATTTGGTTATAAGCCATTCATGACAGTCTTGCAGAAAGGAAGACCAAAAGCAATCTGATTAAGCTTCTGGATCTACCAGTTGACAAGAAACACAAAGAATAGACAATTACATAAACTACACCCATATAATGCAGTTAGAAAACTTCAGACGGATAAGTGACCCAATCTCTTCAAGCAAGAAATTATAAGGGGGGAAAAAAAGACATATGGAAAACTACAGATTAAGAAATTCACAGACCACAATAGCCAAACTGTGGAACGAGCCGAGATGCCCTTCAGCAGATGAATGGATAAAGATGTGGTCCATATACACCATGGAATATTACTCAGCCATTACAAAGGATGAATACCCACTATCTGCATCGACATGGATGGAACTGGAGGGGGATTATGTTAAGTGAAGTAAGTTAAACAGAGAAAGACAATTATATGGTTTCATTCATAGGTGGAACACAAGCAATAGCACGAGGACCATAGGGGAAGGGAGGGAAATCCAAAGGGGGAGAAATCAGAGAGGGAGATGAACCACTAGAGACTATGGACCCTGAGAAACAATCTGGGGGTTTCAGAGGGGAGGAGAGTTGGGGGAGGGTTAACAGGGCCATGGGTATTGAGGAGGGCACATGCTATGATGAGCACTGGGTGTTATACTTAACTAAAGAATCACTGAACACTGCGTCAAGGACTCATTATGTACTATACGGTGGCTAACAACATTAAAAAAAAAGACAACCCAATTAAAAATGGGCTAAGCATTTGAATAGACATTTCTATTAAAAAGATACAACAAATATCCAATAAAACATCCAAAAAAAAATGAAAAGATGTTAAAAAAATATTAGTTGTTAGGGAAACAAAAATTGAAAGCACAATGAATTACAACTTCCCACCCACTAGTATGGATAGAATTTCAAAAATGAAAAGAATTGTTGGGGAGGATGTGCAAAAATTGAAATCCTCATACATTGCTGGTAGGAATGCAAAATGGAACATCTGCTGCGGAAAACAGTTTGGCGGCTCCTCAAAAAGTTAAACAGAATTGCTGTGTGACCCAGTTATCCCGCTCCTAGGTATATATCGACGACAAGTGAGGACATAAGCTCTTAGAAAAAATTTGTATACGGATGTTCCTAGCAATAATCACAACAGTTGAAGAGTGCAAACAACCCAAATCCCAACCATGTCATGAATATAGTACATGTGGTAGTATGTACATATAGTAGAATAATAGCCAAAAAAGAATGGAGTCATGTTACTTGCTACAACATGGATGTATCCTGAACACATTATGCTAAGTGAAAGAAGCCAGACTCAAAGGCCATATGATGTATGACCCTATTTAGTTGAAATATCCAGAATGGATAAATCTGTGGAGACATGAAGCCAAGCAGTGAATATCCTGGCTTCCTGGGACAGGAGACTGGGGAGGGACTGCTAATGGATGGGGTTTATTCCAGAATTAGATATTGGTGATGGTTTGCACAACACTGCATATACAACTAAAAAGGGTGAACTTGGTGGAACACGACTTACAGCTCACTAAAATGAAAGAAAAAATTACAGGAAAGACTCATGGACCTATGAACAAATGAATCACTATGGACTTAGCATCCTGATTCAAGCAATTATTAATTTATATTTATAATACATACATGAATAAAATGATGTATATATAAAAATATCTATCACAATTGGGAAATGATACATGGCTGAACATCTACTGATACTAGGGATGTATTGTTAATACAGGATAATGGCATCGTAGTTTAAATAGTCCCTCATCTTTAAGAATACATACTGAAATGTTTACAGGTAAAATCATATGATGCTTAGAATTTGCTTCAAAATAATCCAGAGGGCATGGGGAGGGCTAAAATGAAAAAAGACTGGCCATGAATATTGAAAGTGGGTGATGGATATCTGAGATTATACTTTTTACTTCCCTATATATCTGAATTTACTTCAAAAACACTTTTAAAAATAAAAATTATATATTCTGATTTTTCATAAGTGTTCTAAAACCTTACTAATGTTATTTAGATATTCTTTTGATCTTTAAATTTTTATTTCAGTTATCACCTTGTATGGCTTCATCCCCTACCAATGTCTTCATGGCCACTGACCCCCAACAATCAAGTTCCAGTCTAAATATTACCGTAAGCGTTATGAAATTTGATCAGCCCACACCTAATATCCTACTCAATAGTGAGGCTGAAAGCTTTTTCTCAGAGATCAGAAACAAGACAAGGATACCTACTCTTACCCACTCTTTTATTCAACATATTACTGGAAGTCCTAGCTGGAGCAATTAAGCAAAAAACAAAAGGCCTCCAAATTGGAAAGGAAGGTAAAACTCTTACTGTTTGCAGATGACATTATTATAAACCCTAAAGACTCCACCAAAAACTGTTAGAATAAATAAATCCAGTAAAGTTGCAAGACACAAAATTGGTATATAAACATACACTGTGTTTCTACATACTAAAATAAACTATCAGAATGAGTAAGAAAATAATCGCATTTACAACTGCATCAAAAAGAACATACCTAAGATGTAACCAAGGGGGTAAAAGACCTGCACATTCAAAACTACAAGACAGTGCTGACAGAAACTGAAGAAAACACAAATAGATAAGAGAGTATTTCATGCTTACGGACTTGAACACTATTAATATTTCCCTACTTCCCAAAACAATCTATAGATTCAATGCAATCCCTGTCAAAATTCAAATGGCTTTATCATGGAAACAGAACAATCCTAAAATTGTGTGGAACCACAAAAGACCCTGACAAGCCAACTTAATCTTGAGAAAGAACAATAAAGCTGGAAGCATCATGCTTCCTGATTTCAAACTATATTATGATACTATAGTAAAACTGTGGTATTGGCATAAAAAAAAGACACATAAATCAATAGAACAGAATAGAGAGCCCAGAAATAAACCCATGCATAGACAGTTATTTTATGAGCAGGGAGCAGGAGAATATACAGTGGGGAAAGTATAGTCTCTTTAATAAGTGGTGTTGGGAAAACTGGATAGCCATTTGCAAATGAATGAAGTGGGACCACTACCTTTCCCCATATACAAAAATCAATTCAAAATGGATTAAAGACTTAAATCTAAGACCTGAAACCATAGAACTCCTAGAAGAAAACATAGGTGGTAAGCAACTTGACATCAGTTTTGTTGATGACTTTTTGGATCTGACACCAAAAGCAAAACACAACTAAAGCCAAAATCAACAAATGAGACTACCTTAAACTAAAAACCTTCTGCACAGCAAAAGGAATTATCAACAAAATATAAAGGCAGCCTATCAAATAGGAGAAAATATTTGCAAATCACATGTCTGATATTCAAAAAATAAAACTCAGAAAACTGAATAGCAAGAAAACTGTCTGATTTAAAAAATGGGCGGAAGGACTGAATAAACATTTTTCCAAAGAAAACATACAGGTAGCCAGCAGATACATGAAGAGATCAATAATCATCAGGGAAATGCAGATCAAAGCCACAATGACATATCACTTCATACTTGTTAGAAAAGCTAGTATCAAAAAAGCAAGAAATAACAAGTGTTGGTGAGGATACGGAACAAAGGGAATCATTGGGCACTGTTGTTAGGAATCCACATTGGTGCCTTTGTAGAAAACAGTATGGATTTTTCCTCAAAAAATTAAAAATAAAATTAACCTGTGATCCAGTAATTCCATACTGGGTATTTACCCAAAGAAAACAAAACCACTAAGTTGAAAAGATAACATGCATCTTTGTGATTATTGCAGCATTATTTATAATAGCCATAATATGAAAGCAACCCAAGTGTCCAGTGATAGATTAATGG